CGGATCCGCCCAGGACCCGTTTTGGATCCGCTTTCAGAACCGGGTTATCTGCCGCGGATCTGTTTATTGTGTCGTTAGGAGCCTAAATATGCTTCAGATTTAATACTGATCCACTTCCTACTGACCTAAATACACACCAGCAGCATTTGCATTGTAATTGTACATAAACCTTTTACAGCAAGTATTAAAACTAGGATATAAAGGCTTAAATTTAAAAACATAAACTTAAACAATTTCAAAGTTGGATCAGTGATATCCTATCACTAAATCTCATTAGTTATTTTTTTTTTTTTACATTGTAAACAATATTTATTTAAATCATTAATTAGAAATCTTAGGACATGAATAATCATTATTAATGTTATAGGACTTATATACCCTTTAAGTTAACCAATGCTTCATTCTTAATATGAAAATGACAATTTACAGTTTTTACTAAAAATAATTCAAGTTAAGCAAAGTTTTTGTTTTTTTTTAAATGGCAAAAAACAAATATAAGCTATATGAGTAAAAGCCTGGACAGATGAGACAGAGTGTAGCCATACCATACTGTTCAAACTAAAACTTAACTTGTGTTTACCACCACAGAACAATTAGATGGATGGTTGTTCTTATAGAGTGTGCAGTGTGGGAGCTTCAGAGCCTCTGTCTTTAGCTTCAGTCTGAGGCAGAGGTTTTGAGGCAGAGGTGTAGTGAGTCTGGCTCCTCTTCAGTCCTACTGGTGAAGATCCAGTCTGTCAGTGTCCAGCTCTGGGCTTCCCCTTTCTCACAGCATCTGAAATGACACCAGTGTGTATTAAACACCCCATTACACCTCTTATTCTTGTAAGGAGTTAGAGTTCAGGTTTGTGAAGAACATTGTAAGTCATGACAGTGGCTGTGTGATTTGAACATGAAAGGTAAACACTTGATTGGAGAAATCTATGCACTTACAGAGGGTCAGTCTTTAAACTCCACCACAGCAGGTTCTGAAAGAAACAATATGCACAACAACAGGTGTGATTATAATGTGCATATGTTTAGTTATGAAAGTTAATAAAAGTAGGATAATACAGTAAACTTACAGAGGGTCTGTCTCTACATTTTTGGAACTTGGCCCAGCAGAGGGAATTCTGTAAAACATCAAATAAGAGAAACACAAATATCAGTTTGGATCATTTCAGGCCACAGTGTTTAATCCAAGTGCAGTATTTACCTCCAGAGGGTCTTTATCAGGCCCTTATGTCCATCTTCTTATTAACCATAGTATATTCTGAAACAGAGATGAAAAACATGATTTAACTCATAGGAAATACTTTAGCGCAGTAAAACTGAACTCTTTTGTTTTAGTATAAGCCTGAGTATGAACATGAGACGTATTTCACTGCTGTTAATACACAATACTCTACTACATTTACTTTTACCACAACATTTAAAATATAATAATCAATTTATGATGGTGTTCATAGTCAATATCAGTGTAATTTAGATGTGACACATTAGTGTTCATGTCAACATCTCTCACTGAAAGTCTGAAGCACCGTCTCAAGTCCCATAACAGAAAGTTAGAGACAAAGTCAGATCTGACTCCAAACTAAATCTTCACAGTCACAAAAATCATTAAAAGTACTTACTTCTGATCAGTGTGCAGGGCTCCTGATGGAGACATTCAGCAGAAGGACAGAGTCCTGATGGTGACATTCAGCAGAAGGACAGGGTCCTGATGTCATCTGGGGAAAAACAACATAAGTTTTGGTTGGTTAGCTAACGTTAGCTGTTAAAAGTTGTGCTTTTTATTACGTTACGTTATTGTATTATGGCACGTTGCGTTAAATTATTGTATTAAGGCACTGACATGACTGCACTTTAGTCTCAACTCAACAGTCAACACTCTAGTCTACACAAATAATAATTATCTCTGGTTAAAACACAACCAGATCAGACACCGGTGTCACCGTCGCTCCACAGCCGAAGGCAGAGCGCCGAGAGCGGCGTCCAGCCAGAACCGATGATCACGGAGCAGAATTACAATTCTGTGATCGTAAAAATATACAAGAATATAAGTAGCTTTATATAAAAATAGTATTTAGACTGGGATCTACCTCAAGAGATGGAGTTATCCTGACTCCTGACCTCACATCGTCTTCATCACGTCAGCTGCTTCTGTCGCTAACTTTCCTACTGCACTCGTCCAAACTGATAAAACACACAGAGTCACACATGTAAACACACCACAATATAACGTTAACGTTATGTACATTAATGATGACTAATACAATTAACTTTTAAACTATTACTTACAGTTAAATCCACGGACAACAGGTGGATGTTGTTTCTTTCTCTCAGGTTCTGATAACGGCTGAGTCAGTGGCGCGTCCGCGCAGCGAATCCGAACCGGGTTACCCGCGGATCCGCGCATTGATAGTACAAATCATTGTGTCAAAAACAAAGTGTTGTGTTAAAAGTACGTTCACAGTGCGGATCTAAGATGATTTAACCGCAGATTCTCTCTGTAACAGCAGGCCATCCAAGGGTTAGGGTTAGCAACAGTCAGAATGCGAATACGGAACAAATACGCAGCGGATCCGCAAAGCGGACGGACTGTGGGGCGGATTTGGCGGAGCGAAAGCGGATCCGCTGCGGATCCTGATGCTAGTAGGGGTGTTTTCTCTTTCTCTCACTTTTTTTCTCTTCACGCCGCGTGATTCGTGGTTTGACAGCGGCTAAAAACGAAACTTTGAGAAATTTGCGTGTACGTAGGATTAAAGAAAATAAAAATTAAAAAAACGAGCATATTTGACTGTAGTTTAGCATAAAATAAATAAGTCCCGGTTTAGTCCTTTTTCAGTCCTGGTTTAGACCTGGTTCAGTCCTGATTCAGTCCTGCTTGCAACAAAACAATCTGAAGAGCCACTTGGGAGCCAAAAGAACCAGCAGCTTTTAGTGAGCCGAGCCAAAAGAGCCGGTTCTCTAAAAAGAACTGGAATACCATCACTAGTGTCTAGAATGTGATGCAAAAATGCCATTAAGCCAACCTACTGTCTGTAAATATGATGTAAAGAGGCAGAATAACAATAAATGTTGCCTAAATAAACCCAATTTAAAATCCACCAGAGCCAAACCTAAGTTTTTTAAACAATTCAACATTTACAGTGAACTTTTACATCACTAAATATATCGGTGATTATATCGGCTATCGGCAGCGCCAACTCCCATTATATCGGTTTCATATCGGCCACAGCAAAATCCATATCGGTCGGGCTCTAGTTTGTAATCCACTTTTTATGGCGTTCTGTCAGCTTTTCCCATTTCTGACCTTTGTGGACGACTATCTTCGGTACTCTAAAAAAATCGCTTTTCCTTCTCTCGGTTAGAACAATTGGCACAACCGTAAACTGCACAACACATCGGCATTTCCCTCCAGTCGGTTCACTTCTTGCCCTCCATCTGATTTTGCGCGCTGACAAACGTCGCCCTGTAATGTCACGTGAAACCCAGATATTCAGAATTATTATTTCCATGTAAACTCCAAGGAAAATATTTTAAGTCCAAACAATTTAATCCAGAACAATTAAAAAACATCATGTGAACGTGGCCATTGTGTTCTAACAGTGAGTTTTTTAATCATTTCAATACCAGGTTTAACATTTGTGCGTTTACCTTTTGGATATTTCGTGGCAAAGTACAGTGTGATAAAGAGTAGAGGGGTGTGCAAAAATATTGAAATATCGATATATCGTATCGTTTAATGTGATGACACAGTATCGATATTGTGGGCTGCTCTATCGATATATCACCAAGAGTATTTTTGGTTTATTTTACTAAATGATTTTGTTACAGCTACAGTTTCGTTGTTTGTTTAGTGGAAGGAAACTCGTTTGACATTTTCGCTGTTTTGAGGATTAAAATGTTTGTGTTTCATATGAACTTTGCACAAGAAGTGGTTTAACAAAGATTTTCCATGATTTAGCCTTTATTTTTTACTGAACCGTATCGAATCGAAAGCGCACTGTATCGAGGTTTGTCTCATATCAGTGACTTCTTAACAACACTCGGCCTCAGTCAACAGGGAAACGTGGCTCTTGCCCCGTCTGGGAGTATGACATCATCACATTCTAGAACCTGAAAACCTCCCAGTTCCATCAGGTTCACGGCGCCGATGACATCATACATGTAAAGTTCCATAAAGCCTTGTTACCATGGCAACTCCGGAACTCAAAGCTAAACTTCAGAGCTCTGTGGGCTTTAACTCAAAGCTTTGTTTGGCCTCGGGGAGATTATAGGAGTAGGCAAATCGAAAATCACAAATCGAAAATCACATATCGCTTAACGGAAAAGGCACATTTAGCTGAGCTTGACACAGAGCAAATCGTACAAAGATTTCAAACAGTAGACTTCACAGAGGAGACTTTACAGAGTAGATTTCACAGAGTAGGTCGCACTTTTTATCTGCGTAACAGTAAGTACAGCAACACTTACAAAACAACTCAATTATAAAACAAAAATGGCCAGAAATAACAGAGGAAATATACCCTTGACCTTAAACCATGACCTTAAACTAAAGAACTGTGGTCTTCTTTGAAACATACTGAAGTTCAGGCCTATAATAACAACTACACTAACGTTAACGCTGTGTTTTTAAATTCTATTTTAGGCATTTTCTTGGGGTTCACATTGTCTACTTATGTCAAACTCTAGGCTTTATTATCATATTAATCCATCAAAATTCACGATAATGTTTGAAATAGTTATATTACCTTATATATTGTTGAGCTACGTCGGCGACAGCTAGTAAGCTAGCAGTAAGCTAGCGGGTTTTTCGTTAACTTCCGGTCATTTCTTCCATCAAAAACTGCCAAACCAGGATAAACAGCGCCATCTATAGACTTTAGAAAAGATTAAATTAAGTTGCAAACACTTCGTTGCATTTCCTTAAATTAGTTCTCCTCTGCTTGCAGTAAAATAGTTTTGTTGATATTAGTAGTAATAATTAGTGATTACTAAAATATATTAGTAATAAAGTCTTTTGATCATTAATTAACTTGGCAATCTAACTTAATGATTTCCTTTGATGTTAATGTTTTTTTGGTAGAAATGGCAACCTCCGGTAGAATTTTGAAAGACAAAGAAGTGGATGGTTTGCCAAAGTTCCCAGTCCTGCCGCCAATTGACACAAAGGTCGACGCTGTCAAAGAGACATGCATGTTGATTCATCAGAAACTTCAGAAGCGTCGAAAAAAAGAAAATGCTAAATGACCAACGTCGATTGTTATTGTAAGTGTTCTGTCAGGTTGGAAACACTTGCAGTTAACTACAATGTTAGCTGGCTAAAGCAGTTGTATTGTATATACTGTCATACAGGGTGTCCAGGGCCATGGCTGCCTATAGACGGTGCTTGGATAACGAACCAGAGAGCTCATCACCAGAGCCACAGTTTCCACCCTCTGTAAGAAATACACAGTTAGACACTGTCTACATAAAATATTATTTATTTCAAGCATCCATCTAACACAGTGTTTTTCAAATTTATCACAGATGATCAGTGAAGACCAGAAGGAACGGGTTGGTTTACAGGTTTATGCCATTAACAGAGAAATGCTTATGTTTGAGAAATAACATTTGCTTCTCCTATTTTCAGATGAATTATGCATTTTTAAAGAAACGTGTGGAAAGTGGTCCATTTACTCCAATACAACAAGAATGGCTGCACTCCATCACTGGCCGACTCCTGCCTGAACTTAAAAATACTCCAAGAACACAGGCACTGTTACAGGAGCTCTGCACAGAAGTGAGCGAGGACTTCCGTAATGCAATTGTCAAACATACAGGTATTTTTTTATATTTAGTGTCTTTACTCTTAAGTGTGTGTTTGCTACTAATAGAATTGGTTACTTTAATGTATTTTGCTTTTGCATCAGTGGGCTCAATTTTAAAAGAACCACACAAACAGAATACTGAGAAACAGGAAGTTACTTCACTTGAGTAAGTTACACAATAAATGTATCAACCTAGACAACATATTGTAAATATTTTGTCTTGTGCAATAGAATTTTGGATTTCTCACAACCCCGGCACGAAAGCTTTGTCCAAAGCCACAGGAAGATCAAAGCAAATTTGCACATTCTTCATCCAGTGATGCAGATAATACTGGACATCAGTTACACCACATTTTCTCCAATAGTCTTAGCTGATCTTTCAGATTACAGGTAATAAAATGCACTGGGCATAATAACAATGTAATAATAGCATGATTTATTATGTCTAATGTTTATTCAGAGTTTCAGGGCCTGTTGACTGTAAAAGTTTACACAATAAAATGGCATTGGAGTGCAAGAGAACAGAAGAGCACATAATGAACACTTGGTTTCCGAAAATTATTCATCTGCTAACCCTAAGAGATACAGTAAAGGGTATTAAAGAAGAGAAGTTGGACTCTTTTTACAACTGTGCATCCACTCTTATGTCCAATCTGGTGAGATTACTGTGTCATTTTTTATGGTTAAGATCAAATACTTGGATATACAGCACATATACTATTTCTTACATTCAAATTTGTTTATAATATTTTACAGCTTAAGTCCCTGCTTCATAAAAGTGT